ATAAAAAGAATTTAAATTATTATGTTCTTGTTCCTTTTCAAAGGGCTGTGTTACATGTGGCATCAGGGATGCAAGTTGTGAGGCTGCAATGGCTGCTGACAATATGGAAAACAAGGGAAAATTGCCTCCGCACCTGCAACACTGAAGTCACCAGCACTTGTGTCAGTAAAACCACTTGGTGTAATTCTCATCCTCTTTTCCTCTGCCTTCACTACGTACTAGTGGTGAATCTATCTGGCTATCTCTTCCCAACATGAACAATCACATATGTGAAACTGAATCTTCCTCCATTACCCCATCGCTCCTGGCGTGACTTTGAAGACAATCTTTCACTGTGAGGCTGTTTCTCTTCCTGACCTCACAGACTTGGTGCAGAATGGATTATGTTTCTAACTTCTGATTGCTCAGTGATGAGCAAAATACAAAGGAGTTCTGGGATGTGTTTGTATATTTGGGCTTGGCAAGTAAGAGTCTGAAAAGATGCAGTGGTTAAGATCTACAGTGATGAACCTAACAGACTGGAACATGTAGGCTAGATGTGTTGAAACCAGCATTGAAACCAAGGTCTTAGTTTTCATCTGTTCAACATTTAAAGATCTAAACTGAAGATTCTGATGCTCTGAGGCTCTGTAGCTGGTTCAAGAATCCAAAAAGCTTTTTGATGAGCAGCTGAAAACTGGCTGAATTATTCTGCATCAAAATGCCTTTCACCAGCTTGTGCCCATCAAAAACTGAAGTGAAAAGAAGCAAAGCTATTCCCTATGTTCTTCATGATGAGTGTTTTGGAACCAAGTTGGTTATAACTTTTGCTTTTAAAGCTGTGTTTCTCAAGATGGGTGTTTAAAATGGATTGAGCGTAAGTGGTTTGCAGCTCCACTACAGATGAGATTATAAGTAAAAATCAAAAGAAAAAAAAAGTAATTCAGGAGTTATTTCCTTGTACAGGATCTGCTTTTCAATAAAGACACATGGAAAACCTTTTCTATGAAGGCATTATAGCCTAATTACGAGTTCAAGTAGCTAAGGGCAGTCTTTTCTGTTGCTAGTGCTCTGGGCAGCAGATTTGTTTCTTAGTTTTTTTGTTGCTGATTTAGAGTAGTTGTATGAGCTGAATCCAGATGTAATGAATAGGAAATTTTAAGCCATTTCCCTGGTTTTTGTCATGGTGATGCCAAAAAAAACCCCAAAAGATGAAAGAGATTGAGCTTTATTTCTTCTGCTTTCTTGAAAAGTCACATGTTGTGGAGCCAAACTTGAACATCAGACCACAGATTTCTTATCACTGTTGACTTCCTGTACAAGTTTTAACCTCTTTCTTTATAATGGTGGCTCTGGCCGTAGAAATCCATGGACAAAAATGTAGTTTGTGCATGGTGTTAGTTTGTGGCTCAGAAAGTGGTAACCACTTTCTCTTTCAGTGTGTAAAAGGACTTGTTCTCATGTTAATACTTCTAGCTTCAAGCTGAATGTCTCAAAGTGCTCTTCAAGCAGGACACGCTTCATAAACCTAGCAGGTTTTGTCTGATTTCCCCTTTGTTTATCAAAGCTGGATGTAATCAGATTTTCTCTGTGGAGTTCATCACCTCAGCCTTCTCAACAAACACTGTTGGAATGTAACACATGATTCATCCTTTTGTTCTGTGTAGCTCTTCTTTTTCTGCTATGTGTAGGTTTTTCACATTTTGTTTCATTTGCTGATGAGCTTCAGGTGGTCTGACTGAGTTACAAATACTGTGATCTGCAGAGCTTTGAAGGAAAACTATATTTATGTAAAGAGGTTTGTTCTTAGAATCAACTCAGTGACAATCTTCGTCGTTCAAGCCTATTTCAAAGAAAGGTATTTTTACAGAATTTCAAGTCTGATTTGACCCAGGCAGCATTCTTTGGCTTTATTTTCTAAGTGTGCTCAGTTTATGCCTGTTGCTTTCTATTTATTCTCAAGCTGCATTTCATTGTCTTTCAGTTTTTCAGCTTGAACTTGTCTTCTCTTGTGTTGTAAATCAGCAGAGGTCCACACAGGGTCAGTAGTTTTTGTGTTCAAACAGCTCCTAAAATAAGAGACTTTGATGGGTATTTACATATAGCAGATCATGTACTCAAGCAGGAAAATGTGGGCAATACCTTATACCTTTCCTAGTCTTTTTCCAGCACTTTCCAAATAGAGTATTCTGCTTTATAACCACACTGTCCAAAGTATTTGCTCTAAAACATGTAATAAGATGTTTTCTGTTACAGGTTCTTTTCTTAATTGGGAAGTTTCTTAACTAATTTAGCTGTCAAATTATGCTTATGCACTAGAATCCATTCTAGTTAGATGTGCTTACATTGACTGCTTTAATGTGTTTTGAGACTTGATGAAATAGATCAATGTGAATGCTCCAGGTAGGGATGGCTGTCTCCTTCAAAACAGGTAAAGTGGAAGCCAGAAGGGAAGTGCAGAAAAGCAATTCTTGCTGTATGGCATTTCCTGAGTATGAAAATGAGATGGTTTGCAATGTGTTAGCAGGCATACATGTCATCCACGTTACAAACAGTAGGGCTTAGTTTAGGAGAACGGTACTAATGCACCTAACAGTTGAAAGATGCTTTTCATCCATAGGTCTGGAAACATGTTGGTTGTGTAAAGAGGCAGAGAGACAAAGGGCTTGCACAATATATACCTCCCTTTCAAACCAAATCCAGGAGTATAACTTATGGAGCTTCATTCACTGTATCCTGTGCTGTCTTTGCTACAAGTGGTCAAGTTTCTGATCTTTATATAAAAACTTGATCATATTATATGTGTTTCTTGTTTGGAGATGTTAACCCTGTTTGTACCACTTGCTCCTGTAAATTTGTGCCCAGAAAGATCCTACAGCAACAGAAATCCTAGACATCCTAGTTTTTGAAGTTCTGTGAACATCATACTCTCTGACCATACAATAATGAAGGTGCATGTGCTAGGAGCTTGAATTCAAAGTTTGTAATCCTGGCTAAATCTTAGGTGCAAGTCCTTGTCTGGGGCTATGTTAGTCCTGGGTTATAGAATAAATATGGTGTGGGAGAAGAAAATAAGAATGAAGACGTGAATCAGTGCCCTGTGTGACAATGAAACTAAATATTTGCCCAAAAATCAAGTGGCGTTTGCTGCAAAACCAGATTTAGGACAAAAACCAGTTTCTCAAGCTACTCTTTACCCCACTAGAATCACATCATCTTGCAGTCAAATGCCTTATCAAGCTGTTTGGGAAGGACCTCATTTCCATAAGGTTTCAGGAACTGGTAGTTTCTATGTCGGTTTATATTACTCTTTCAGTCTCTCTAGTTTGCTGGAGCAGTCAAAGTGAGATCCAGTTCTGTTCTGAAAGATCAGTGGAGTAAATAGTGCAGCCAGATTGGCACATGGTATTTTGCTTATGTGACTTTGTCTTACCTGGCATAATTTAAACACTGCAAACAGGTTAGAACTGTTGGGAAGGTCACTTCTTTGGTGACCAAAGGGAAAACATGCAAGTGCAGTAATGATGCAGTTAATACCCCCTGTGGGGGCAGCAGCAGTTTAGAAACCCTCGGTGGATTTCTCTGGCAATTTCTTTTTTGTTGTATTCATAAAATACAGAATTCTGTTCTTAAAAGAGTTGCTGTGCAAATATTTTCATGGCATTGTGAGGAACAGGAGGGACCTGAATGTGTTTTTCCAGTGCGATGAGTATTTGCTGAACGAGTCAGGGGTTGGTAAGTTTATCTTCCAGCTGAATCAAGTTTTAAATCGCAATCAAATGAATTTTTACATCAGGAATATTTTATTGATACAATAATCAGCTGGGGTTGAATTTCCAGGTGTGATTTTTTTCGCTGTAGACTTCAAAGGAGCTTCTGGTTTTATAAATAAAACTGAAAATATGCTGCAAAAAAAAAATGTTTCCAGGGTGTGTTTACTTTTGGTGGAGTAATGTCTAGCAAATAGACTTGTACGGAAATATTCATTACCTCTTTCTGATTGTACATAGGTGCTCTTGTGGGGCTTGCTTATTTTGCTTTATGTTTGCAATATTTGAAGCGCAACTGATCAGATTTCTTTTCCCTGCACTGTTTATAGGCTCTACCCCTTTCCGTGTCTATGAAATAAATCTGTCTTGGATGGTTACTCCTTTAGATAAATTTGGAGTCTTTCTTACAGTTTTTAGTGACTGATGAGGAGGCAGGAAAAGAGGAGCTTCCAGACAGGCACTGACTGCTCCGTTGTGTAAGGATGAATGTTCAGAAGACTTCAAGTAGCTGCACAGTGCATCCAGCTGCTGTAAGGACGTTTTTCTTTGCTATAACTGCCTTCATCTGTCTTGCAGTGTATGTGAGGTGAGCAAGCTGCATCAAGCCTTGTTTAAACAGCACATTCAGAGATTTATGATGTATATTATTGCGATTGATGTATGTGTATTAAGTGAAGTTTGTTTCAAGCTTTCTTTGAGCCTTGATTGGCATGAGATCCATGCAGAGCATGTATTGAACAAGGTAGGGCTTCACAACTTGGACTCAGAATGTGCATACTGTCGAGATTGCCATCCCATGGAGGGGGATCTTTAGTTTTATTCACTGCAGATATTACTGGGAAGTACCTGGGATTGAGCAATGATTTCTCTCCAGTGGTAGTTGGAGCAGATGCTTGATCCTGACACTGAAATGTGCTGATGGTTTCCATGGTGCCTTGTGGATGTCAGGAGGGGATTGGGCACTGCTAAGCTGCCATCCTTCACTGGCTCAGCATCATCAGGGAATGCAGCAATGACCCTCTCTCCCTGGCATCCCAAAGCTAAGTCAAGAGACCAAGCAACAAAAGAGAAAGTCTTCTTGCCTCTGGACTTAGATGCAGCTGAGGCATCTTCTGAGAGGTTTCATGGGACCCCATGGGAATCTTACTTCCCCTGCCCGAGTTCTTTTCATGTTGCATGTTTATCTCCCTGTCCCATTACTTTCTTCCTGTTGTGCTGTAGTCTTAAGTAAATACCACACTGCTCACAGCATCATTGCAAAACATCAAGAATTTATTAATTTCCAAGTAGCATAGAATGTAAAGTTAGGAGCTGTCTTCATGTTTCTTCATTCTCATTTTAAATCAAAAGCAAATCTATAAACATGTTTTCAGACATCTGTATAAATTATGCAACCAAAGTCAGGGGGACTTTCTTCTCCTGCTTACACACAATATTTCCAGAAGCACTCGGAAAGATTCCCACGTTTCTTGTACTGTTTCCTATCCTTGGTCAAGAAGCGGCCCAGCAAAGCAATTCGAGGGTGATTTCCATAGGAAGTCTAAAGTCAAACACCATTAAACAGGTTACTGTTGGATGATAAATGTTCCCAGTGGGAAAGTCCATTCTCCAGTGCCCCAACTGACTGCACAGCCCTGTGTTCTGACCGGGGGAAGGCGAGGCGACTGCCCCATGTGCCCTCTGATTTAGGTGATGCACTAAAACTGGTCCCTGTCTTCTCCCTTTAATTCAGCAGGAATTATGTTCTCTATTTATCTAATGGTTCTTAACAAATATGATAATACTGTGTAGCCTATGTTGTAGTGTTGGGAGGAAATGACATGCAGCTTATACTGGTTAATGGCCTGGCCTGGTGAAGCTGGAAATTGGCCTTTATTTAGTAAAGCAGTTTTTTGGGGTGGGCTGAATGAAGAGCTCTGGATTATTTGCTGTTTTCCCCACCTCCCACTTACCTAACAGCTAAATGATTCCTGCTTCAAGAACACTGTGGCATGTTTTACTCTATACTGTTTATGAAGTCTTTGGTTCTTAAATGATAATAACAGTTCCATGTATTTTAAAATGTGGGGTCTTGTTTTTCTTGTTTCAGTGACAGATGGTCATTTGCTTACCTCTTTGGTATTTTCCCTTGGGTTGTAGCTACTGGGGCTAAGACCTGGAGAGGGGAGACATAATGAAATGTTTTACCATTTAGAAATGAGGAACCTATGCAAGGTGTCTTGTGCCAGGATGCTGAAGCCAGCAGGAGTGTGGAATGTTCAGTGGACCAAACAGAAGACCCTTTTGATGCAGCAGGGCCAGTTAGCCTTGCAGGATCTGGGATTCAGCAGATGCAAACTATATTGTCCTCTTCAGCAGGCATCTGTTGCCCCCAGAACCATCTGCTGCTGTTGATTCTGATTTTCTGCAAGTACTGATGGTTTTTAAGAGACTGCTGTTTTGTTTTGTCTGCTGGCTCCTTCTAGGCCAGTTTCTGCCTTGCCCTGGTTTTGTTGTATGGAGGTTTTACTAAACTGACTTGGAGACTTTTACAGCTAACACTGAGCTGCAAGCATGGCTGCTCAGCAGGTTTCCCCAAGGTCCCAGTTCACTAAATGTCAGCTATCTGTTGCTTGCACATAATGCTGTATTCCAGAAAATACCCAGGAGTGGGACAGAATATTTATGGAAGCTGGACATGCAGATCATGGGCACTCCTCCATATATTGTTGTGGTAAATTCCTCACCTCCTTTATTGTCTTCAGTCAGTGTGCCCAAGAGCTCTGGCAGGAACTGAAGCAGGGAAGTGCTTCCTAGGCTGCCCAGCCTCTCCAGGTTTAATCTTGGATCTTCATCTGCTGCAAATGGAAGATGACAAACAAGCATACAGTAAGAGGGTTTTTTGCTTTGAATCCCTGTTTCAGTCTCTCTCAGATGATTTCTCATCAGGTCTGTTGGCAGCCTGATGAAGACTATAATGAAATTGCTCATCCTCATTTAATGAATATAATAGGGATACTTGTGTGTTTTGTCTTGGGTTTTTCTCTTCCAAAGCTTTGAGAAGAGATACCTTCCTGATGTTAATGCCAGGTCCTCATTTCTCTTGCAGATCTTTCTTTAAGAAAGTTTTTTGACCCAACAGCACCTGCTCCCATTGCTTGGGGAGCTCACACACCAGTTTTTAGTCCATTTCTACATCAACTAATTCCTATGCTGGAGCTTTTTCATGAATAAAGACAAAAACGTCCTGTTCAAGGCTTACTAAACTGTTTGGTTTCCCAACTATTAAATGCAATAAAATGAGGTGAAGGGCAGGATAAAGGTAGGAATATTTTGGCAGCTATGCTTCTCAATGCATTTCAGTCATCTCTCTCATTTAATGTCTGTACCAGTTACAGATACTGCTACTTTCTCTGAAACAACAGATTGCCGATACCTGATGGAATTAATTTGTAGGTGCATAGAGAATTTGGATTCCTGTCACTAGGCTGTGCCCCAGGGCAGGTCTTCAACAGGAGCCCTTCGTGGTGTTACACTGGAGGTAAATAAGGCTTTTGTAATCTGAGCAGTAAATTTCATGTTTGCTAATATATAGCAGACATTCAAAACTGGGGGCAATGAGAGGGTGCTGTTGTCAAACTCCGGTTGTGGAGATGAGTGTTGTTTTCTAGTTGTACTTTTAGGTGATACTATGGCATTCTAGTTGCTTTTACCTGCAGGGTGGGTAAGAATCCCTAGCTCCTTAATAGGGTGTATAGATAAGAAAATAAGCTGCTGAAAATAATCCTTCAACACTTCAAAATCTTAGACAAAGATCAGGAACATGAAGGCCTTTGACGTCCACATTGTTAGTTTGCTCACTGTACAAATGGACAGTTGCAAAGGACAGTGGGGATTTCAGTGAAGACATTCTATAAGTTTTGTAACTTCCCAATAATGTGCTATGTGGAGATAATTCCTCTCTCTAGCCTTGTATTATTTTTTAATTCAGAGCAGTGTTGGCAGGTAAATTGATTTTGAGATTAAAAAACCCAAACCAACAAACAACAACAAAACCCAAACCAAACCACAAAGCCATAAATGACAGCCCTCTTTAATACAGAGTTCTATCTTATCCAGTGCACAGACTTTATATTAGCAAGGAAGATTTAATAAGCATAATGGATGTCTTCAAACAAATGCAGTAATGTTAGAGCCAGCTTGTTCACCCTGTGATGTGATAGATGCTATCCATACTGAGTCATGGTTGTCTGTAAATGCAGGTTACGTAGAGGAAGGCTTAAGAAGATGCTGGCTTAGTGAGTCCAAGATGTTCAAAGCAAGCTAGGGACTACTGATACCTATAAACCAGCACAACAGCTGTTGTACCTGAAAACCAGGTAAGAACAGCCACTTCTTAATAGTCAGCTTTATGCAGTAACTTTGGGTTTGATTTGCCTGGCTTTTCAGAACTCATTTCAGAAACTCTTCAAGCATAAGTCAGTTCTGATGACAGCAACCATCCCAATTGTTGTGCATCTTTACTGAGCTCTTTCAATCTTGACTTATGCTATAATGCCAAACTTTGAGGGCAGCGTTTTCAAGCCAAGATTCATTCTTCCACTGGACTGAATGGAATTTGCTTTAGCACAAACAAATAGCATGCTCAATACACTGTTTTTGTAGTATAAGACAGATTTGCCTGTTTTTGATCTCAGTAGGAATGTGTCAATCTCCGCAGTAGGTTTCCCCCTTTTTAAATACAGCTTCAGCTAAATATCACTGTACAGCCAAGTTTCTTTAAGTCACTTAAAGCCTACTAATGCTGCTTCAAAGACAGACGCTGCACATGCCAGCTTACATTCAGTTCTGGAAGGCTCGGATACCTTTGTCTCCTGGATCTCAAAGCAGCAGGAACAAATATTTAGGGCACCCAGTTTCCCCCATTTTAAAGGAAAGCCTTCACTGATGATGTCATGTGTGCTGCCAGTGTTGGGAAGAAATTCCCACCTTTGCTAAGCTGGTCAGCACAGACGAAGGCCCCTCAGAAAGCATAGCTGCTTCTCTTCTGGGTTTGCTGCTTCAGCTCCTGCTTTCTGACCATTAAAATCAAAATGCTCTTACCTGAGAGTTGATACGACATCTCACTGGCATTGATGATGGGGAGAGATGAGAGAGGACAGGAGAAGCCAATAATAATGAGACAGCAGAATACCAGCTTATGCATTGTTGCTGTGTTGAATGGATCTCGTCTTTGCCTACCCCTGTATCTCCAAACTCCTGTCTGTTGCCTCTGCTCCCAGTTTCACCGTTATATAGCTGCTCATGACCTCATAAATATCATCATGTTCTCTCCCCCCTTCAGAAAAAAAAAATCCAATGAATTTATTGCCCATTGATTCTAAATGGAAACCACTTTGCATTGATGTAATTTTTCAAGGTAACAGTTCATAGACAATAAATTTACTGTCTTATAGCTTGGTGTACAAAATGGATATTATATCAAACCAAGCACAGTAAAGTTTATAAATCTGGCATTAAAAAAAAAGTAACTTCCAGTTATAAATCATGAGTTAACAAAAGGGTCAGACATTAGTTGAAATGACCAGGGCAATCAGACAGCTGATTTATGAGCCTTAGCAGCCTTGACGCAAAGCATCTGATATGAAATTCACTGTTTTTTCTTCTTGGGAGATGGATGGATGTGTTGTGTTGTATTTGGGGTTCTTGTGCCAGAAAAAGTACAAGAGAAGGGGAGTTAAAATATCGAGTTCATTTACAAAGGGAGTGGAAGGGGAGTTTGATTTCTGAGCTCCCCAAGCCCCCCAGAGCATTTCACATCTATTTATTTGAGAAGACCTCATCCAATGTTGCCCTAGAGAACTGTCTTGGCAGAGAAAGCACAGCTTCCATCTGGAGACTTGCTTGGTACATATAAACTACTTTGGTTGATATTAAACACAGGTCCCTCGCTAGACTGGGAGACCCTTTTCCATTTTGCTTATCTTCTCCTTCCCCCATTGGAACTAGCTACCTAATTCTGTGTGTGTTAGCTAAGGATTTTTTAACTTGTTCAGCTTTTGCTTTTTTTTAATGCTAGCACAGTAGTTGCTGTATGTAATCTCAAACTTAGTTTTCATTTCCCTCCATCTAGCATATTTTGTCTTCTCTACTTACAATTTAGTATCAAAGAGAGAAGACTAACTGGACTGGTCCCTCATCTTCATTCTCTGTGAAGCATCATATCCAACTGTATAGAGCCTTGTAAGTAAGTTATGACAATTTTGTTTCCTTCAGGTGGTGAGAAGGTTATGGCTGTTCAGGTTCAAAAGAAATTAAAGTTTAGGTAATTTTCTTTCTTGCCTCTCTAATCAAACATGCCTTCAAATGCTCTTTAATATACAGTAAAATCCAACTAATGTTACTGAAGTTCTTTCCCTCTGCTGAATTATGTGATTATTTTAAGTTGCAAAAGGAGTGATCTGCTTGCTTTTTCCTTCATTAACATTTCCTGTTGAAGATTAATTTTTATGTTATAAATTCTGTGACTCCTAGGGTTAATTGCAGGTTCACTACAACCGGCATCTAGAACAGGGCTATTTCTGCTGCAAGTCTAATTCAGAGAGCACACCCCATGTTAACAGGTTGTCCAGAGAAGCTGCAGACTCTGTCAATCTGGAACTCTTCTATTCTAACCTCCCCTGCTCAAATCAGGGTCATCCAGAGCAGTTTGCCCAGGAGTGTATCCAGTCAGGTTTAACAGCTCCAGGGATGGAAGGGGACTGAATTTCAAACCAAGGCTTTGTCAAGGCCGTGGGCATCCCCATGTAAGTTCAAATGTTCTGCTTTGAGTGTAAAGGTGGGAGAGGTAAGAGAGGACCTGCTGAGGTCCTTTTAACCTAAACTTCTCTGCATCCTGTGTGTACAGAGGTCTAATACTGACTTACAGGACATATGCTGCATGTGTCTGAACTACAGATCCTGTTTCTTGGGACTTCTCTTTGCTGAAGTGAATGGATATGACAAAATAATTTCTCTACAGAATTAACCTAATTCCTATATTTTATGCACCTCTTTCCCTGTGTGTTCCTATGAGAGAAGTATCAAGAAAGGAATTCTCTCTCCTCATCTGAGTCATGCAACTCTTCATTCCAAAACTGCAGACAGTAATTAGGTCTGATTTGATGCATGATCTCACTGTTGGTGCTGGATGCCCTGTACAATGCTTCTCCTTCAGTGAACTGTCAATGACAATGGCATTGTCAATATTCACTCCGAGCATCCTCCAAGGAAAGCTAATGAAGCACTCTTCACAAGCAACTGATGTCCTTTATCTTCTGTCAAGGAAGACTCAGTCTCTTAGAGCCATCATGAAGTGCGTCATGTGGAAGTCGGGCAGCTTGCCCACAGCTTATTGCCTTTACTCAGATTTGAAATGGTCACTTAGACACTCTTTCCTCTACCAAAATGTCAAAGGCATTTTCCTCAGGGGACAGTGCACACGTCATCATGCAAAGCAAAGAAACAGCTCATCCTAAACAAAGGTACAAAGCCCTGAGCACATGGGTGAGGGACATAAGTGTGAATTGCACTTTGAAAACTTGGGAATTGACTTAATTTGTATCAAAACTGTTTCGTGGGCAAACTTAAATAAGTTTTATTCTCATAGACTTTCAGGTGCTTCAGTGTAACATCAGAGAGCAGCAGTAGTCCAGATAAATTACTGAGCAAACTCTAAGTAGTAAGTATGTGTTATCCTATCAGAAAATATTATTCTTAATTATCAGAAGAAACAGGTATTCTTAGTTTAAAATGATGGCTCGTGAAGAGTAAGTTGCTGATGAAATCACAAAAACTTTAAGACACAACAAAACCACCCACCAAAATGATGTAAAAATAGGAAGGATTAAATCTAATCTATGATGCAAAAGCTCTTTCCCCTGTTTTAAAGTGCATTATGATAAGTAAGTATAAGTTGTTGGTTTAGTCCAGTATTGTGACAGTTGGCAAGAGCAGGAATTTCAGAGAAGATGCGATTTACCAGCAGCATTTGCATGAGGGACTTTTTCCTTGGTATAACTTTTGATGTAGCTTTTTGGCTTGAATTTAGTAATTTGCAGATGAGCTTGTTTGATATAAGTTTCCAGCTCTTCCTTGAATTTTACTAGAATTTTTAACTTAACCTCTTGTTTCAGTGAGTTACATATATTGGCTGGTGCAAGAGAAAAACATACCTGTAGTATTGCTTGCTTCCCTGCTAGGGTCTAGCTTATCATTGAGGCATTTTGGGGAGGGGGCTTTGCTTTGCTGTCACTGTTGCCTTAGCAGATTGTGGCCTCATTAACACCAAAGTTGTTAACACTAACTTAAAATTTCCCATTTTAGCTAATTGCTCAGCTTTGTGAGATGATTATTAAATCATTGTGAAATCATATGTGCAGTAAGGCTTTTTGCTGCCGTTAGTTTGCATTGCTTTATGTATACTCTACATTCTAGAGTATGCAGAAAACAGCCTATTGGGAGACTCAGCAGATCAAAGGAACAAAAACAACCGTACTTTGGGCACTTGCAGTTAACTTCCTTCTTTGAAGATGCTGCTTCTGCCTAACTGTAATGTAGCCCACGTGGTATATGTTCTGAAGAATCACATAGCACTCCATGGTGTATTTGGCTGTGCATAGTAGCATTTCTATCTTCTGAGTTTCTCTGAGAGGTTCTGACCTAGGTTTTCATGCTCTCTGGTGGGCTGAAGTGCCATAGGTGAGTACGTGTGCTTCATTGAATACATACCTGTGTGTAAAAGAAGATGGCAGCAGGTCCATAGGCCTTTCTGAAGATGTTTTGCTGCAGAATTGGCAAATTGTCTAAAAGTGCTCTGGTAGAGAATCACAGCTGCTAAAACACTGCTCCTTTGTGGTGGAGTTTCCACCAGTTTGGGAGGGAAAAACCCTCTTGATTTTTGGCCCTGATGAGCTGGCAGACTGTAGTCTGGGTATATTCTCCAAGTGAAGCTTGACAAACTGGTCCTTAAATCCCTGTCCTCTCGGCACTACAGAATTAGAAAACTTGACGCTTCACACTGTTGGACATGAAGGAAAGTAAGTCTGGCATGACTGGAGCTTGGAAATACAGCACATCACATGGGAATCGGGTTCTGGATAATGCAGCTGCAAACAGAGGAGCAGAGACCAGATCCTGAAATCAGGTTTCTTCCACCAAAAATGTAATGGAACTAACTATGCAATTGCAGTTTATTTTTAAAACTGCAATTATGAGAGCAGGGAAGTGCTGATTCTTTTCTTAGTAGTTGGGATGGGGGGGGGTGGGCAGCCCAGGCTGTTTTCTTGCTCTTGTTCTGGCTCAAGGGGAAGAAGTGCAGAAATATTAAAGCAGCAAATTGCAAAAGATGGACGAGGTATAAGAGGTGTCTCCCATATCTCCCTGTTTGAAACTGCTTTATACCCTGTCAGCTGCAGGGTGCAGATATTGGACACCTATGAAGAGTTTCCCATCTCTGAAGATGGCCATCTTTCACTGTCTGCAAAGCAAGAGGCAAACAGCTTGCATCTAGAGAGGGCATGGAACAAAGGCAGTTTTGTCACAGGTGTCCTTATGCTTTTCTGTATTTTCTTGTTCAAATGTTCACCTTTGTGTACTTATTTTATTCACCACAGAGTCTCAGGATCACTCTCATACCCACAACGGATACGAGAGGACAAATTTCAAGTAGCTCTATAGAAGTTCAGTGTGTGGGCAGGAGCTATGGACTAATCCAAGAGGTATCCTAATGATCACTGGCATTTAACTGCCCTACTCAGCGTAGGCAGTAAATGAATGGCTCGCAAAAGCAGACTTTAATTTTTTACTTTGCTTTCCGAGTGCATAATCCCTTTAATCCTTCACTACTTGGAGGTTTTTTGTTAATTAAATGGAATCTCTGCAGGCTCTGTGATTCATACTCCAGGACAAATACGTGTACTTACCAGGGGGAAAGTTGGCATAGGTCTCATTGGGCACCTTTAAAGCAGTTCTTTCAAGGTTATTTTGTAAATGAATGCATGTTTCTTGGCAGTCAGCCATGTGGAATCTTCCCTTCACTGTTTGAGGTGGATTCCACTTTATCAAATAATTCCCACTACAAGCAAGAACTGGTTTTCTCTGTGGTGACTTTGTCTGATCCGACTAGAGTGGAAAGCTGTCCCTGCGGATGGGAGTGATCAACGGGATTAGGAATTAACAAAGGGGAAGGAAGCTGATAGCAGATCCTTGTCTCTGATTTGGCAAATTGAGTGTTTCTTGCTATGCTGGAACTTAGTAATGGAAGCAAAGTCCTCCTTCCAGCAAGAATTCCCAGAGCAGATTGGTGATACATGAGAGTTCTGAAGTTGCTATTTAGCTGCTATTTAGTGGTTAAGAAGATTCCTCACATAGCAGGAGGTGAAAGATGTGCAAGACCAGGAGAGGAAACGCTCCAGGTCTTTTGCAAAGAGCCAACACCCAAACTAGCTTTTTAGATGCTCTTTATGGTGATTTTAAGGGTCTTTTCCAATTTAAACAACTCTGTGGTTCCTGTTCTCATTCCATCTGTTTCTCCACTAGGCCTTGTGGCAATCCTCCTTCCTTAAACTGTAGAGGGTAATGGGGAGGTATTTCTGCCTGTTTGTAACTGCTCAGCTGTATTCTTGGCCTCTTCAGCTGAGAAAGTGGGTTGCTTTACAAAGGCTAGAGCATGCATATCATATTGTATAGCTTATCTAAAAATCCTCTACGAGACAAGCAGGCTTTATGCTTAGAAGGAAATAATCCAGTGACAACCACAATCTGTGGACGTAGGGTAGTGCAGGAAGCCTCCAAAGTAGTCTTCATTTACTGCTTGTTTCTGCCACCATACGAATGTTTTATTTACATGATGATCTCTCTGTGTCATTAGGAATGGCTGGGAGAAGGTGCAGAAACAGTTATACGAGGAGGATAATTAGTAGTGCCACAGCACAGTAAGTGCTTTTCCTGTTCTGTAATTCCCTGAGGCACATTTAATCACTTTTGAAAAGCACAGAAATGTTCCATGTTCCAGCTTCACTGTTCCATGTGAGAAGTGTTCTTATTGTAGCCTACCCTGTTGATGAGAGCAGATGTAGTGAGACACAATGACAAGAGAATATGTTATTGTCATATCCAGTGGCTTCCTGACAGCCTGTTCAGATTTTCAAATCCTCTAACTCTCAAGTTAAAGAACAGCAGGTTCATTTTCTCTTATTAGAGCTCCTAAATATGAGGGAACCATCAAGCATGTTCCCTGGTTACACTTCTGCTGTCTACAATACTGCACTTACTGAGGTGTCCCACAGTAGTTCAAAAAGATGCATTATTAAGGGTGGCTGTAATGCTGATAATGTGAATTGGGGAGGGGAAACCTCAGGCCTTCTGGTGACACTGGAGCTTGGTTAAACCACTCTGGTGCTCAACTGTAGTGTTGCAGCTCCTCTGGAATCAATGTTTCCTCCCACCACTCCTTTTATATACCTTTTCACTGTGCTTTCCATTCCAGATTAAGAATAACATGTTATGGTTTAAATACTTCAGTAAAATTTGCTTTAGGCATGTAAATGCATGTTCTTTGGGTCGCTCTAGAATTTGTATAAGGCTGCACCGAGTAAAGCAGTGTGATATCTGCCTTTGCCTGGATCGTGTTCTCTTCAGGCTAAATGGTTGTGGAAGGAGTAAAAACAGCAATGCTGTGTATATTAGAATATTTTGTTTTAAATATAGATGTTTTTGAAGTCTATAGTGTTGTAGCTAAAGGAAAGTGCCTCTTTCACCTCTCCATCCACCTTCCTCTTGTTTTCCAAGATTGTGTTTGTTCTGAACCTGCTGCAGTGTTTGTCTCCAGGAGAAAAGTGAGCTAATGTAATGGGTTAAAACTGACTTAAATGGGTAACTCAGAGATTCTATTTTGCCTTTGAAATGTCTTGTTTCAGTTTGGCTTATGTAAACTGAGAGTAGATTTAACAGGTTTAAGATCCTTAAATTGAAGTAGGTGTCTTTGTATGGGGTTTTGCACTTGGTAAATCAAATAAAACATGATTTGTTTTCTTAATACAAACAGGAGAGATTTTCCCTGATTTCAGCTGGTGTTCAGCGGGTGGTTTGGGGTTTTTTCATTGAAATACAATCCAGTTTGCTTCAGAGTATTGCAGGAATATTCTGCTGCTTTTACTGGCAGGCACCCAGGAACTAGAAGGTGAAAGGAAAGAGTAGGTGATATCATAATAAACTCTTGCCAAATTGAGGTTAGAGGGAATTTCCATTTTCTTTGTACATGGTATTAAAAGTTCTTATTTACAGTGAAGGTAATGATGGTATCCAACAACCTTTTTCATTCCAGGGATGGAAGGATGCTCAGCCATCTGTTCCTGATGCAGAGCTAAGACAAACCTGTGGGATGGAGAACCTCCTTTGACAGACTCTGAAGAGAGCACTGTATCAAGGAAGGCTTGTTCATAGCTGAGAGTAACTGAGGTAACATTTGGTGATGGAATAAGGCTTTGAATTATTTTAATAGTGAAACTTACCTTGACTTTTAGTCACCTGTTTAAAATGCAAGCAAGAGTGGTACAGGTTCCCTGTTTAATACTATTTCCCATGTGTTAATTGTCTTCAGAGTGGACCTCTTCTATGGAGGTTTTCACATTGTTAATCTTAGTATCAGAATGATTATCAAAAAAGACAATGCTTCTATGAAGGATCTGATAGGAAGACTGAAAATAAGACATATTCTGCTTTGAAAAAATGATATGATGTTTGTGTGTTTGAGAGGTTATTATTGTTTCAGTGTCTCAATCATCCAGGTGCAGAAGCATGCCTGTAGAAGAGAGGGAGGTGAGGGGCAGAAACCTTTCTGTTTTCCTTACCCACACAACTCTTTCAAGAAATTACAAAGCCAAGACTTGCAACAAACAGTTTTGATGTCAGTAAGTGTGCTAAGAAATGGTGCCAGTTCTGGAAGCAATAAAAAAGCAGCAGGCTCCCCTGCTTAAACTTATCTATAAAGAGGATTTGTCTCCTTTTTCCATGCCTTCAGAACTCCACCTGACATCACCCGGGCCTCTGCACAGTCTGGCTAAGAGGACATTTTCTGGCTTCCAAGAAAAACAAATGGAAATGCAAAAACTTGCATCTGGCCTGTTACCTCATCCCCAACCACCAGGGTGGTTTCGGAGTCATCCTGGCATTCCTGGTTCCTTTTTTACTTGCTATATAATAAAGATTATTGAGACATGCAGAGAAAGCAGACAACACTTAGACCTCAGTTAAGACTGATCCTGTGTTATTTCCACATGAACTGGTAAGTTTGTTCAGGTATTAAAGAATCTGTTCAATAAAAGCTCCTGTGAAGCCAAGGTGCACGTTTGAATTATCCACATAATCCACTGCTTGACAGGAGGATCGCTCCTGATGTTTTACTCAGAATGTATTTCCTTTCTGTGAATGACTGTCCCTTGAAACAGTTCAGAAAGCCAGTTTTGGTGTAAATGTGTCCCTTATTCTCAGAAACCAATCTGCACTACTCAGGATTATTTGGTTTCCCTTCCACAGGCTTTGTTTTGATTCATGGGAATTTTAGGCCACTCCTGAAGCTTTGGTATAAAACAGCAAGATCAAACTGTCTGGAAAAGCTGTTGTAATGAGCACCTCACTGTTCAGTAAGTACCTTGACTGCTTCAAGTACAGGAAAGGAAAAAAAAGGGGTCTGCACTTTCTTTGGAGCATTTCAAAATATATACAGAAAGCACTAACAAAATATAGAACTCCAACTGCTGTCTCTCCTTTCCAAGGAGAAAACACTGGATGTTTTGGTATTTTTACAGAACGTAGACAGCAATTCTCACACCTTATGTATGGATTAGAAACTGTTCACAAGCAGAACTATTTTATCCTGTCCTAAGATATTGTCCACTGGTGCAAAGGTTGCTTGTTTGTCCTGTTCATGTCTTTAAGTTTGTGAACTTGACATAATAGTCACTTAGTTCTCATGGTTGAAGGTACTAATGAAGAGAAGACTTGGGCTAGGGATAAAAAGTTCACAGTTCAGGCTTCAATATGATATTTTCTGACGTATGGTTTTATATTTACTGTATACAAGTTTATCAGAATATGGAAGTGTGGTCTGATGAAACTAATCTGCTGTTGTAATCTGCTGTGTGGAGAGATGGGCTGTCATTCTTCAAACCCAAGAACAGCGTTCTCCAAGCTGAAATCACACAGAGGGGAAGATCGCCCTTTACATGACACATTGGTGAGTTTTCATTCTATTTTTTTAATAACACTTTCTGAAGAAATAAATGATTTGGTTTTGTAGAAGGTCACAGACGTGAATGCCACGACTCAAACATGCATTTCTTTTTTCTCTTAAAAGACGAAAGTAACATTAATTGAAATTGATCAAAGAGATAGTGTCTGAAGTTGTAACCCTGAGGTTGGAAAGGTTTTAAAAATAGTACCAGATATGTATCACATCTGCAAGGTACAGAATGTCTGCATCGCCTAAAAGATCAGAGGGGAATGATGTAGGGCTGAAGGTGGTGCAGTCTAGCTCCACAGTAACATCTATTGGTAAGACCAAGTCAACCACAGCTTTTCTCAGTGTTTCCACTGCCTCTCTGAAGCCTGTCAGTGTAGTACAACAGGAGATGAGAGCTATTATGGAACACTTCACAGCTCTAGATCTTTATGGCTTCCTCTCTCCTACATATAAGGTGTGCAGTGGTCAGGCCAGGTATCTGCTTTTAGGGCTTATGGGATCTGAAATGAGGTCTGTTTGTTTGCACATGAAACCCAAGCCTCTTGGGTTTGAGCCAAACTTTAAGAGGAGCTCAAGCCCCAAGACAATGGCTGGAAATGGTAGTAGAGACCACAAGTGTTGCATGCAGCTCCACTATGTGCTACAGGTCTTTTCAGTGTCAAATGCTGCATGTAAATTATGGTTCAGGCAGCATTTATATGAGGGACCACAAAGCCATGGCACCTTTCTGTTACTTGTTCTGCATACAGACTTTTTCTACATGTAAATCAAGTACCACTTCTTATAAAAACAATTCCTAGTTCTAAAATAAAGTCAGCAAACTGGAGTTTGTTTTGGGTTTGTTTTTTTTTTAAAGTATTTTTTATTTGTTTTTTTGAGATATGGAGAAGATCCACTTTTCCCTCAGTGGCTGCTATTTAACCCTCAGAAAATCACAAGTTCTGATACCCTCTATTTATATAAACAGGTCCCTGTTCCAAAAGGAAATCCCAGTGTGGATGACCTCGACAGTCCAGTTCCTAGTTCACCAAAAGATCTCTGAATTCCATGGATTTGCCACAATCCTTATATTCACCTTGTTCTTCCTCAGGGAAGCGGCAGCTGCAGGCATCATCTTCCTGAATTGACTGTTCAGATACTGTATGCACTGAAGAAAAAGAAAAAGAGCAAGTGTTTCTGACTTACAAGGCCAAAAAAAACCCACAACTATTTTCAGCTATCTTTGAAAGCATTTAAAAACCTGGATTTCTGATTTCAACAGTAAAAACAGACGAGCATTTCTCTTACTTTTCTTGAAGACAGCACGTAGTTTCTTTTTCTGCCAGATACTGAAGCATATGCATGAAGGCAGCAGAAACACTATGCACAACAACCCAGCTACAGCAAGAGAAACTCTGACAATGTCCATCTGGAGGTCCTTCCCTAGGAAGCAAACAGTATTCCCTAAGAAGTGTTACAGAGCAGAATTCTACTGCCCTTGAATCAGCTGACAACTTTGTCTCCAACTCTGCTTCTAGATAAGTCAGCAACACTGGCAATGAACAGAGGACAGACTCTCGCTTTAAATGAGGTGAGGGCTATAGAATGTTTCAAAGTAAGTCATAATTCTTTAGCTCTATAAGCAATATTATACAATGACTCACCTGGCACAGTGATAGAAAATGGAATTGCAGGAGCCGTGGTAGATAGAGTAGTGACTAAAGTGGGATTATCTGAATCGTGTTTGCAAATGACATCTTTTGCTTCAGTTCCAGGCTCCAGGACTTGGTTTGCAGAGCACCTAAAAGACATTTAAAGCAAAACAGGAGGAGAGGGGGAAAAAACAACCACAAAACAAAACAACAACAACAAAAAAAAAGCAAACAAACCCACAAACCAAAAGCGTGGCAAAAAGTACAGTCCAAATGTAATAGCTGTAGCAGTTCTTTTTTACATGACTTACTTGGTCCAGTTTTTACAGGAGCCATCAGGCTGATCATTAAAAGTTCCATAGCGGCAAGCTCTGCAACCTTCAACAGACAATAGGACAAGGGGTAATGGGTTAAACAGGGGAAGTTTAGATTGGATATAAGGAGGAAATTCTTTCCTCTTAGGGTGGTGAGGCATTGGAATAGGTTGTCCAAGGAGGTTGTGAATGCTCCATCCCTGGCAGTGTTCAAGGCCAGGTTGGACGAGGCCTTGGGTGATATGGTTTAGAGCAAGGTGTCCCTGCCCATGGCAGGGAGGTTGGAACTTGATGATCTTAAGGTCCTTTCCAACCCGAACTATTCTATGATTCTATGACAAGGATGCGTAAACTTGTACAAGGTAAGCATTTAAATCGGCATGTGAAACATTTTTGCCTGCTTCTACAATAATTATACAAAAGTGGATAATTACTATTCCATAAGCTGCTCTAAGTATGCGAGGCCAGTGTGAGCTATGGTCCAGTAGGGTAGTCACTACAGGGCCAGTTTGTTGGCACAGGATGTCACAATCGTGTCTAAATCTCAGGGTTTCCAGCTGTTTCCCACATGGTGATGACAAAAGAGCCTTCATGCGACAGGAACTCATTAGTGTATGATCTGAGCTACAGTTTCGTGGGTTTGTCTGTTTCTGTGCAAACTGTTTATAGCAGTGACAGCTTTTATCTAGTGTGGTCCTTACTCTAATTGTTCCCATGCAGTGCAAGAGGCAGTGGTGCGTCTGGTGGTGGGGAAAGGCAACCTTACCACTCCTGGTGTTCTCCTGGCCCACGCCGCAGCTCCGGTCGCAGCGGGAGCAGCTGTCGCCACTGCAGCGGTACCCCTCCTTGCACGTGCATACAGCATCACTTTTCGAGGTACATTCTTTTAAATACCTGAATATTCCTGAACGGTAGAAGTAAGGTTTGGGTTACCTGCGCGCTCATGCCCGGTGTGGTGCAGCAAAGGCTCCCGACCTTTGCTCTTACAACAATTTGGCTGGTGGCTTCAGCGAGCAGCCCCGCGTTGTTTCGGCAGTGCCACTGTCACTCGCAGGGCAGCGCCAAGCTGCCGCGCCATCTGTAACCCCGCCCGGTACCTTCGCACTTCCGACACAGGGTGCAAACGTCGAGTCCCGCCTCGCTGGAGAACGTGTCGGGAGGGCACGGCCGGCAGCGGCCGCCCCGCCAGCAGTCCGTGCTCGCCACGAAGGTACCTGCGGGCCGAGACACAGAGTGGCTGCCGCGGGGCCTCGCCCGGAGCCCCGGCCAGTCCCTGCCCCGCCTGGCCCGGGCCTCACCCGCTGGGCAGGCAGCGCCGCACGGCACCGCGGCCGCGGGATGCGGGCTCAGCGCCAGCGCCAGCACCGCTGCCGGCAGCAGCGGCAGTTGCGCCCGCGCTGCCGACGCTCCCATGGGGTCAGTGCGCGGCGGCGCGGCCCCGGGCACTGCGAGCGGGGCCGTCGGTACCGGCCCTTAGGGGGCCGCCCCCAGAGGGCCCGGCTGCGTCACTTGGGGGCGGTGGGGAAACCCCGGCCTGGCGGGGGTTTCCGGTCCCGTCCCCCCCACAGCGCGACCCCCGGCTCTTCCGGGCAGCGCCCGCAGCCAGCTCAGCGCTGCCGGGCACCGCTCGCCGGTCCCCATCGGGGCTTCCCGGTGAGTCCTGCACGGAATCCCCGCCGTGGATCGCCAGGCCGGGCTGGCCAGGCCGTGCCCCCGAAAGGCGAGGGTCAGAGTGAGGGTGGCGGGGCAGAGGCAGACACGGCTGCGGCACGTCGGCCGTGCTCGGGTACCGCCCCTGGGACCGAGCGGGACCCGAGCGCTGCGGCCCGGGAAGGGGGAGGCCCGCTCATCCGCGCCCGGTGACTGAAGCTAGAGAGGGAGCGCCTGCTGCGCACGGCCCGCTAGCGGGGCCGCTGTCACCCTCCCGCTCCCGGCGGCCCCGCCCCTTCTGCGCGGTCGCGTGGCCGCGGGCGGTGCTGGCCGCTGTGGGCCGGAGCGGGAGGCGGGAAGAGGCGCTCCGGGGCGGGTTGTAGCGGGCCGGAGGCCGCACCGGGGCTGCGGCACAGGGCAGGCGGCAGGTCCGGGTCCGGTAACCCCCGGAGTGGGCAGCTCAAGTAAACCTCCCCGCGTCGGGAGCAGGAGCTCAGGGAAGGCCCCGTGAGGTCCTGGCCCATGACACACAGAGCCACTGCGGCTCTGAGGGGCCCAGTCAGCAGCTCGGTCTGTTGCACAATACTGAAACTTCCCAAAGCCGGGGGAAACTGCCCCGGAGCCACGGTCCCGGGGAATGGGTGCCGGTGAGGCAGAGCTTGGTTCAGCACTGGGGGTGCGAGGGCCGCTGAGGAACAGCAGCGGCAGCTCCTGTCGCAGGTATGTACTCGCCCTTGCTGTAGGAGGGTGACACGGTCATGGCGGAGGGCACCGGAGCGCGCTCTGAAGCGGCTCCAAGCGAACGGGATAAACGCAGGGCGCTGTGCGAACGGAGGGAGACGACAGCAGAGTGCCGGTGCCGCCGGCAGAGAACGGGGTTAAGCGGGGAGAAGGGGGCGGGCGGCGGCGCTGAGCGGGAGGGCGGGGCCGGGGCGGGGGCTGCTGCAGTCTCCCGCGCCACTGCTGAGGTGAGTCGCGGCCGCCGCTCTGGGCCCCGGCGCGGGCCGCGTAGCGCCATGGGCTCGGCGGCTCTGAGCGGAGGAGGCCCCGGGGCGCCGTGGCCGTGGCGCGGGGGGTGCTTGGGGCCCCGAGGCCTGCCCGAGCGGGCGCTGCGGCGGCCGGGGGGAAGGCCGCCTGTTTGGCCTTAAGGGACCAGGCCTCCCGGCGTGTGTGCGCCGTGCGGTTGCAGGCCCTGCAGCCTCGCTCTGTGCCCCTGCTCGTGGTCTTCTGAAATCCCCGCTACGTCGCATGGCGCCGTGTGCTAAAATAAACATGAGCGTGTAGGGCCGTGGCCTTTCCCAGGGATTAGCTGAGCTGGGCAGCGTTAAAGCCTCCCTTTCTGCGGCAGTCTGCTCGAGGCACTGCAGGGTGTGATTGCTTTAAAGCCGCCGCCTTGGGGTTTCTGATTTAACTGCCACACGTCACCCTCTCGAGAAATGTGCATGTAACTCCATAGGGGGGGAGTATGCGTACCTTGAAGGTTCGAAGTATCCTGAGCATGTGCTGGCACTGAGAAGCAAAGGAACGGTTTGTATTTTGGGTGGGTAGTTGGTTAAAACGGGGTGGCTGTTATGGCAATATAACTTGGTTCTGCCTTCTCTGAAAACATTCTTGCCCTGGTAGCGTAGACCGCATGGCAGCTATGTACATATGCACCCACGTAAAGAGCAGTACTAATGCTCAAGAATTTGCCATGTCTAGGGGCAGTAGGGAGAGACTGCACTTTGCTGGATTAGGGGAAAGAGAAAAGCTTTCAGGGTCAAGCGCCTATTTGCTTCTAAAGAACTGATGAGAGAGGGATACAAACTATGATTACAGTATTTTGCTGTGATGAAAAGCAAATGCAGTATTTCCACATTATGGCTATTGATGTCTGTTGGTAGGTAGTTAAATTCATACATATTTATGGATGAATTCAGATGTGTTCATACAAATTTATGAAAATGAATTTTGTAAATCAACATACACCTTCAAGATGAATTGCTAAAAAGCTCCATGTTATCCTGAAGTTATTGCTAATACTTACGATTTCATTGGACTTGTTTGGTTGGCCTTGTGTTGACAGTATATAAAGCTACCCTAAAAGTAGGGTTTGTCATACTGAATTAGTCTGCTTGGGCTGGTTCTGCATGTTATAGGGTGTTCTGCTGTATATTTGTATATTTGTCCTCATGGCATGGGGGTTGGAACTAGATGATCTTAAGGTCCTTTCCAACCTGAATTATCTTATGATTGTGTATTACTGCGTTTCAGAAATAGTATCTTTATGAATGAGGAAAACAGTAGGGAGTGAACCTGGAAATAGACAAAGGTGAAGCAGGATGAGGAGATGGGTTCCTTTCAAGTAGGCAACTAAATGTGGATCTCGTTTTATGAAGAGTTCCCAAGTGCTACTTGCATTTCCGGAAGGAAAGCCCCTACACAGAGAAGAAAAGTCCTGTGTCACAGGGTGGATGACCTGTAAAATGCCTGGTTAAATCACAGATGCTTTCACCGTCTTCTGTCAGAAAGTATAAGTTTGTAAAGTTACTTTAACTTAACCTGCAAATGGAAATCTGGACATTGACCTCAATTTCTATTTAGGAGCTAAAAAGAAGTCTAGTTTGTTCCATTTGCTAAATGCTGTGCTCTGCTCCCCCGTCACACATGCACTCGTGTTTCTCCCCCACAAAACTGTGACATACCCACAAAAATCTGTTACTGAGGTTTTGTAGGGTCAAGTCATTACAAGTCACAGGAAACTTTACTCATGCTATGTGGAAACTAAATACCAGATATGAGGTCAAAGCTCATGTAAGCCCTTTCTGTAAATGCTGACCTGGGTAGGAGTCAGTAGTCTGGGTATGAGTGAGGGTGTGCAAACTGAAAACAGTTCTACCACCCACCTTGAGCCCTACTCTCTGGCACACTCAGTCATGTAAAGACTTGATTAGGCCATTGGTGCTGACGTGCTGTGCTTCCCACTGCAAAATGCCTTAATCCCTCAATACCATAATGCATTCTTTGTAAAAAGATTTTTATTTAAGTGGGATTGCTATGATATGAATTGAAGTTAGTGAACCATTGAGGTGGCTTAAATGAAAGATAACACAAAAATGCAAAATACTCATTGTTAAATGTTTGGAAGGATTTGTAGTAGGGGATTTGCCTTCTTACCACAGTGTCTCTTTCTGTCTCCCCTCCCTTCAGCTCTTCCCTTCACAACCATCTCACCTAACAACAACTGCTCAAGATAATGGCTTCAAAAAGAGCACTGGTGATTCTAGCAAAAGGGGCAGAGGAAATGGAAACTGTAATCCCCACTGATGTTATGAGAAGAGCTGGGGTGAGTATGCAGACAGAGAAAAGCTTTTTGTGAGTGCCTGGTCAAAGGAAAACCTTTGCCTCAAGTTGATGTTTACTGCGAGGAGTTCAAGGTGTAGCCTGTTGTATAAAGTGAAAATGTGTCTTCCCACTGTTAGCTTATATGTGTGCCCTGGCCCAGATAAGCATGCATAACAAGTGACATTTGTGCAAAAGATGGCCTTTTAAAATACAAACCTCATGTAGAGTAGAACAGATGTCTCAAGTAAATCTTACTCTGTCAGAAAACATGGCTACTGCTATGCACAGTGGCAGGACGTGCTTTTCTTTTGTAGGGGTCTGAACAACTCTACATTACAGCTCATGATATTACATAGCTTTCCTTGAGCTACGTTTAAAATCCTGGTATTAACTGGAGTTCTGTCTGGAGGGATTCCTCATCCTCTTTCTTGCTATTGCAGCTGTAGAGGTGTCATCTGATTAGGTGTGAAAATAAGATTTAACATAAACACACCTATTTCACAGGTATAGAAATGGCTAAAATAAAAATTACCTGCTCCCAGCGCACTTGTCATTCCATTAATATACTCCCCATTTTGGCTACCATAAAAAGAACAAACTTGCCTCCTTGTTTAGTGAATGTGAGCTGTGTGATATTATAACCAGGGATCTAAAAGTCAAGGGAGAAAACTGAAGATGCTATAAGTGTGTTTGAGAATAGCTTGAGCCTGCAAAGAGACTTCAATTCATTATCTGGTCTACTTAGTCCAGCTCTCCTGGGTTTTATTTAAATCCTGTGGGATCAGATATTCCCTGAATGTCCTGTTTGAAAAGTTGAATTATTAGAGGTATTTGTTAATGTTTAGTGAAATCACTACTTACCTTGGACATTTGGATTTAATCATGGTTTGGGGAAGGTTAAGTGTTCCCGGTTCTTGACAGTTTTCAGTAATGCTTTGCTTGTTCTGTGTTCTACTTAAAAACTAACAGATAAGTACAATTCCTGAGTTCTTGAATTGTAATGATACAAATATTCTTCTGTTAGATCAAGGTGACTGTTGCAGGCCTCACAGGAAAAGAACCAGTACAGTGCAGTCGAGATGTCTTCATTTGCCCTGATGCCAGTCTTGAAGATGCCAGAAAAGAGGTTGGTCATCCTGATCTAATATAATGGCCAACATTTCTCACAGTTTCAGAGGAATTTGGAAAGCTTATGCATTACCTTTAGAAATACGGTGCATGTTATGGTAGCTCTGTGCAGTAGTGAATCACAGAGTTGTACATCCCGCAGTGCTACCCTTCAGTGATGTCCTGTTTCGTAGCATGTTAGGATCAGACAGATTTCATTCTGCACAAGTATTTGGTTTTGCAAAGCATCAAGCATAGAACTTTATTTTGCATGTTAGTCACCCCAGCCAAAACAGCTGAAAAGTTCAGATGGGAAGCTAAAGGATGCTGCAGTTAGACCTGTGCAGTAAGATTATAGCAAAACCACTTGTCCTTACAATGCAAGAGCTGCATTTGCTTGGTGAGGCAAATTCACTTGGCTTAAAAGGTGATTCTGTGACAGACTTTGTCAATAATATGCTCTCCCTAGAACAGGAAACGGTATTTTGTTCCATGACTGAAACTGGTTCTCTGATTGTAAAATGTTTTTCAGTGAAAGAAAGGTAGATCCTTTTGCTTTTCACTCCACTCAGCTGTAGTGGCCTTAAACCAGTGTAATCTATGTACCAGCCTCTCTTCAACAGAATAATTTTATCTTATGTTTTTTTTAGGGACCTTATGATGTCGTGGTCCTGCCTGGGGGTAACCTTGGAGCTCAGAACTTGTCAGAGGTAAAGTTCTGCTATCTTAAAGATTTATGGGCATCCTCATGAGTAGTGGGCGGTCTACACTTGCTTAGTAATTCTGCAGATTCAGTTCATCTTCTGAATGAAACAGGAAACTAATCGTCTTAAGCCTTTCTTGTCAACATATAGGTGGGAGAACTGGGTAAATTCTTGAATACCTAGTTAAGCAGCATAAAGATGGAAGGGTGCTCTGTATTGTGGGAAAACATCTCTGTTCATAATCATACGAAGATGAAACAGTTGCAAATGAAGATGTAATTCCATGAAATATAAACCAGGCTGAACCCACAGGACTCTGCTCAAGAATTCTGTCTCTGGTGCCAAATTGTTGTAGTGGTAGTATAAATACTTTGTGGAAGGCAGGCGGACAAACGAGTTGATCTATCAGATAGGATTTAGATGGTATCACAGAGTTTGTAAGCGCTGGAATATGAGTCAAGTGTCCCATATAAATCTTCTTAAGAGCTGTAGAGACTGGAGGTATCTCATGAATCTTTCTTATTTGCCTTGCAAAGATTTTAAGCAATGACTTTCTATAACTGTGGATTAAACTAGCTTTGTCATGGGCCAACTACTTCCTTGCAGTGCCTTCTGGTTTCCTTGCTCATGGCTTGTGGGACAAGTACTTACTGGTTTCAGTTTTTCTCCTTAGTGTTTTCATTGTTGTGTCTCTGTTGTGAGGCAGGATGGGGAGCTGTCAGCTGGTTTTCTTTGTAAAACTTGTTTAGGAATTTTCAGTGGGAAAAAAAATCAGCCATGCTTCAAATAATCAACCCCGAACAATGACCTGTGAAATGATCTCTTCATACAGTCTCCTGCTGTGAAGGAAATTTTGAAGGACCAGGAAAGCAGAAAAGGCCTGATTGCTGCTATCTGTGCAGGTGGGTTAACAGGGTGTGTTGATTTGTAAAGCATTTGGGTATTTTGAAGGGGCATGCAGACAGTTTCCTGTCTTAGAAATCAGTATTCCTGGAATTGAGTAGCAGGGATTTGTACTGTACATGCACCCATCAGCATCTAAATGTAATAGAAGAATCTCTGAATTCCTGTGAACACTTAACCTACCTACAAGTTCTGCTTGGCATCTAGCTCTTTTGAAGCAGTTGTATTTAAAATAAAAAGTAAAAGGTGACATGCTAAGATTTTGTACTAAATATGTGCTTATTCTGATGATCTTTCTGTGAGGACACAGTACTGGCAGGACATCACTGCTATAAATTTATCTCACATCTCCTCTCCTGCCCTTTAACTTCAGAAGGAAGGCTGTATATATAGAATTACAGGCTCATCCTTCCTCATCTGTGTGGCAGTAAAAGATGGAATTACCCTGAGGAGGGGGTTGTCTGCTTATATACTCTGCACAGCTGGCTATCCAGTCTATTTCTTTGTAAGATTTGTATGGAACAAAGCAAGATGAATAATTGCCAGTGCTCCCAACTGAACTAAGGGGCTGAATTAGGTACCTGTAGTTGAGAACAAGGAAAGTGGCAACGAGTGTGTAAAAGGCAGTCTAACAAAGTGTGTTTGTGGAGTGTTCTCTGGTACATTGACGGGGGTTTTTTTGCTTTCTTCAGTTAGATGAAATGCATAGAGAGATGTGAACACTCTTGACCTTGGCTGTGTCAGTCTTCTGCTTCTCTATCTCTCTCTCTCTTGCAGAACAATCTCAAATTCATGGTTGCCCAATAAAGGCCTTTCCTTGTGATCAGCACAGTTTATTTAGGCATGATTCTTAGACCTCATTCCAGCATAACACAAAGAAGGTTATTTCCCAGACTGTATCTGAAGCAAATCAAATGTACAGAAATGAAATTCCCTTTAGGCAAATCTTCCCTTCAGGTTTTTTTTTTAATTTCCGTAAGGATTTTTTGGTCAGATGACCTAAGACGTCTTGAGCTAAAGTCCTTCCTCAATTCAGGCCAAGAAGGAAGTATGAAAAGAAAAGGGAAAGACTGCTAAAATAAAAAACTTACCAGTTAGTCCACCATCTGTCCAAAAAACTGCTTGGCACACAACTGCAATATGTAAAGACTTTGTTTATCTGTTAAGTCTCTGAATTCAAGGCTTAACAGGGTCATAAAGTAAAAGGACCTTGTTAATGTCTTCTAGTTTCAAGCAGTGTTAAATAAAATGTATTATCTGGATGTGAAGTGACCAGTGTTCTTGAAAGGCAGCACAATCACATGTAGGATGCTGTGTGCACTGGGTGCTCCCTAAGCCTCCTCTTTTCTTTGTGTGTTTCTCTGCATAGGGCATTTTGTGTGATAGAACGGGAGGGATTATGCAGCTGTGTTCTCTTTGAGGCCTTTTGCTTCAGAGGTATGGCTGGCATCAGTTTTATGAGAAGTAGTTTGTCCACTGTGAGCTTTGGCTGCTTGAGGGCTTAGTGCCTGAACATGTGTTCTTAAAAGTGTTTGTAGCAGGAAGCAGTTTCTGACTGGTGCAGCTTTGTGTCCTTACAGGTCCTACTGCCCTTCTGGCACATGGCATAGCGTTTGGGAGTAAAGTCACAACACATCCTTTGGCCAAAGATAAGATGATGAACGGAGGTATGTACTGACTTTTCAAAGTCTTTCTAAACCCTTCTCAGATTTAATTTAATTTTTTTAGCTGAACCCTTGGTTTCAAGATAATAGCTTTTGTATCGTATTTTGTATCTCTGAATTGCCATAGTGCTTTCCTGAATATAATCACAATTCAACTGAATATGGTAAGACTGTATTTCCAAGTCTGTTTAACTTGATAATAGAGGGCTCTACTGACATTCTCATCCTTGGGGAAAATACACTGCTGCTGTCGTATTAGGAGCATTTTTTTTCCCCATTATCCTCTTGAGGCTGAGCCATCTCTTGCCCTTTGGCTTCTCTGCCTCCATGCTGCCAGCAGCAAACCCCAGTAGCACCTTTCCTGCTCTCCTATGAATAGTGCTTTCATGCTGGGAACAGCTCATGGGTCTACACTTCCTTTTCATACCTGAAGGAAGAAGTGGTGAAGTACTGTTAAGAAGTCATTCTGTGAACATTAACAAATCTGAAGGGGAGCAGGAGATGGCAGGGTTCCTCCAGTTCCCTCTGCATGCTTTTGAAAAAAAGAAGATTGTGAACAGCTATACAAAAGCGGCCTGACTCCCCAGAGTAACCTCACAGGAGCTGACAGACACAGTGAGCACTTCTTGAGGAGCTTGTAGAATCCAGAGGTGCATTCCCATACTGCTGTGTGCCTTTTTCCTCTGAGGACTGCAGGCAGTGAGGAGCTGCTGGGTTCCAGAGGGGCAAGGGTGCAGAACCCAAGGCAGGCTGTGTCCTATGAGGCATAATGCTTCTGTCACTGCATGCTGACTGACATCAGGGCCTACAGGCAGCAAGTGGCAGTGTCCTGGCAGGCAGGTCTGAAGCATCTGTGCGCACTCTGCTGGAGACTGACCCTCTTTCTGTTGTGTGTCCTCCCCAAGCACATTACAACTACTCCGAGAGCCGTGTGGAGAAAGATGGGAACATCCTCACCAGCCGCGGTCCTGGTACCAGCTTTGAATTTGGGTTGGCCATTGTTGAAACACTGATGGGGAAAGAAGTGGCCGAACAGGTGAAAGCACCCCTAATACTGAAAGAGTGAAATCCTAGTGTGGGCCAGGGAGTAGAATTTCAGATAGAGAATCTCATCCTTTGTGGAATAATAGTAAGATGCACTGTTGTAAATGCAGTCTAATTGAGGTGAAATTAGCAACTGTACTTCCCTAACCTGGGACACCTTAGCAAACCAGTGGTCTATATACCTGGAAAAAGAACCCGTTAGCAAAAAGCTTCATCACAAAAAAGCAGTCAGCACCTAATAATCTTAGTTAGCTCTTGGCATTTAAATCACATGGGAAAATGTTTGAATAGTAAATAAAAATGAAGCAACCGTGCTTGTGTGTTTTTTTTCTTTGCATGTTTCCTCCTAACCCAGACCTGTGAAACCTTTTTTACCACTATGGTTAGTGCTCCCTTTCTTTTACCAACTAACTCTGTTGTTACCTGGCACTGTCATCTTACATGACTGGCACATCGTGCTTACAAGGTGGCACCTCTCTGGACTACCCCAGCACCTGGAGACGTAGTTCAGCATACATCTCAAGTGCACAGTCAGAACTTCAGAAAATTATTTCATAGGTGCCTTTTATGATTGCTTATTTTAATGGGAACCAAGTTCATTCTCAATTACTGCATTTTAGTAATGAAATACATAGGTCCTTTTGCAAATTTAGAATGAGGTAATGTCTACGTTATTAGTCTCTACTGGAAGAACTGCTTTAGCTGTGTGCTCTGCCTCTAATTTGTTTAGGAAATCTTCCATATGTTTCTCTAGCTTTGAAAGATGCTCAAGATATGCAAAAACTTGTAATCTCTGTCAGATTGGACATGTTTGTTCCTTAAATCTGCACATTTAACTGGTATTGCTGTGCAAATGTAAAGCAAATGATGGAAGGATTCTTTGTCCTAGAACCTGGAATAAGCACTTTCTTTGTAAGTGGGCATGATTCAGAATACAGGCAAAGCTGCGCATTCCTGGGCTGTAGTACTGCTTTATAGCATTGTCAGGCTTTAGTTTAGGAGCGTATGGTGATTGGATATCTTTTGCCACAGAACTTTGCTTAAACTGAAGAGGGTGCATCCACTCTTCCCTAACTAGTATCTACCGCTTTGTTCCCTGACAGTTGGAGGATTTGGAGGGTGCATTGTTCAAGAAGGTAGTCCATTAGCATTGTCTGTATGCCTTGTATCATCTCTCAGGAAGATTCTGGTTGTTGTGTAGGCTTCAATGCATAGTTAAGAGTGAGCACTTTTACTGAATTGAGATGTATCATATGACTTAGGAACAGGAATATATACAAGGTGGCATAGATGCTAGTGCCAGCAGTAAATACTTTAAATGCTGAAAACTATATTCCTTCAGAATTAAGGAGTTTACAGATGAAGCAGCAGCTCTGAACCAGAAGAAACAAAGAGCAGGTGGAGAGTGAGCAGTCTTGTTCTGCTGTAGTTCTTTGGCAAGTTTCTTTCCACAAAGGAAAAGCAAAGTACACAGGATGGCACTGTGAGCAGGTGGAAATCCTAACCCAGGAATATGTCCCTCGGAGCAACAGAAAAAGGATGCTCTTCTAGAGAGAAAAGCATTGCCTTTAAAATAGGTGGAGACAGAAACAACACGTAACAGATGCAAAACAGCCTGAACTGTAGTACTTACAGCCATAAAAGTACACAATGGAATATGCTTCATCCAGTAATTACAAGCCCTGGACAGCTTGCTAGCCATTTTGAATATGCATCTTATTTGCTATGACCTAACTACAAGGCATGAAACCCACAGTGACTGTCAGAACAAAGAATGGTTACTTAATCAGATCATTTTCAACAAGAAGATGCATTGTGATGCGGGGTACAAAAAATGATAGAAAATGGTAAAAGACAGTTACCTTCCAGCAGCCTGGATGACATGTAACTTGTTTGGAAAGATAAGCATGTACCAGAAAAGTAGGAAGGTGCCAACTAGAGAATCACGAGCATTGCATCCCTACCATCACGTATGTTCACAGCCTGAAGAAAGGATGTATTGCTGTTCTAGACGTATCCACCACTCCTCTGCATGCACGGACACTCAGCAGAGCTCTGTATGCAGAGCAGGTCCAGCCACACAACCCAGAAGTGAGGGAATAGTATCCAGTTCTCTTGAATCCCAAGTACTCTATCCACTCGATCACTAGTTAAGGGAGTAGGCAGCATTATTGGTTTGTCTTTTGCTGGCCACAGTTTGGGAAGCAGGACTGACATACATTTTAAGCTCCAGAAGCAGGTTCAGGCTTGTAAAACCCAGTACCCTATTTTTTAGGTAACTCATTTCCTCTATATTGTCTAGGTGCACTGAGGGCTCCACTTATTGGCACAGCACTTAGGTAATGCTCACAACTGTGTGTTGTACTTAGTCTCTTTAGTGGCTCTAGAGCCTTTGTGCTTTCTACAGGACTGTTCAACAATTATCCCTTTGTACAACCTTAAATAATTCCTCTGTACATAGAGTTTACGGCACTTCTAGTCCTGTAGATACTCAAGTACCTTTAGCAATTTAATTCAAGGCCATTGCACTAATGGTAAAGGGAGGAGGGAATAAAGTTGATGTAGAGCAGTGACCATCATTCCTTCAAACAGCTTGGAAACAGTTTTACCAGGGTTGAGCAGCAGCTGTGGGCCCTGAGTGCTCATCATGGTCCTGATGAGCTGCTCCTGTGCCCTCTCAGCACCCTCACCTGTGGCCCAGGAGCTCTATGTAAGTTGAAGGTTGGGGCTAGCTCTGGTCTTTGATGAGTTGGAGTTGTCGAGGGGCTTCTGGTCTGGCTTTGGGCTTGCCCCTGCTCCAGAGCTGCCGGGTGGTCAGCTGTGGGGCTGCTGGCTGAAGGTGTTTCTGCAAGACATGCTCAGCTCTCCTTGCTCAGGTATGGTGGGGCTGTGCCCCTCACTGCTGTTGGTGATGCCCTGGCTGGCATCACTCTTGCTTTTGGCTCTGTTTTGCTGTTGCTCTCTGCTAGTCAGTACTGCTGTGTTTGCTATTAGAGAATACAGGATTTGGGGCTGAGCAGTACAGCATCATTTGCTGGCTCTAAACCTGGCAACAGTGATACTTCAGTTCTTACAGATTCTATTCATGGATCATGCTTCTGGAATTCAGGAATTTCTGAATTGCTGTCCTCATGAGAGGTGTATTTCTATTGAGGCTTTTGCAGCTGCAGTTCTTTAAATTAGGTGCTTGGTTTCTCTGTGCTGTTCAGTTCCAGTTAATTATTTTGGGAGACTGGTCTCTGTGTAGTTTCAGAACCGCTTTCTAAGTTGCACGTGTTGCTCTGTAACTCTGGGAGCTGCCTGCTTTTGTACATCGAAACATTTTCAAGTTATAATGACTTCTCCTAGGAAAGCGTTGCTTACTTTGGCACACACGCAGCTCTAGCCTCAGGCTCCCACTTCTTCCTGTATTACTTTGTATATGACTTGGAAAAAGCCCTCTCGTGCTGGAGTCCCCAGCTGGGCAAGATGGTGACTGGCAGGTCGGAAGCTGCCTTGAGTGGTGGCAAATCTGACTGCTGATAGACACTGCAGTTTTTAAGAGGAACTCTCCTGTTGGGTAGTAGGGAAGTGCTGTTTCCAAGAGAACTGGCCACAGAGGATGCATTTATCTGTGTTAACTTCTCTCGTTGCCACATCTGATGTGTGAATTGGTTGCTTTCCCACTGTGGTTTGTAAAGGCGTGCTTTCTGTTCCTTTCAGTCGTGCAGAAGGGGAATGAGTGCTTCCACTAGGAAAGTCTAGGAATAATGCAGCTCCAGCATCCTGTATGGGCTTATGGAGACGTGGGCTTTCCCATCAGCTTCCAAATAAACACTTGGAGCAAAAGGAAGCGGGTTGGTTTTGGGGTGTTCTCCTCCTCGGGGAGCTACAGCCCGTTAACCAGCCCATTAAACCCAGGAGCCCAGCGCCGCTGCCGGGCCCTGGTGGCTGCTCCCGCGGTGCCTCCGGTTCGAGTGGGCCCAGCGCGCCCCCGTGCGGCGGCCGCCGCACACACACCCACACCCCCCCATCCCCGGCCTGGATTCCGCGGGGCAGCGGCTGGGCCGCGGGTGCGTTACTTTGCGCGGAGCCCCGGCTGCTCAGAGCTTGGTGGATCCGCACAGCGAGGCCGTCCGCGGCCGGGCGGGGTCTGTGTGTGCCGCATGGGGCGCTCCCTTGTGCGCGATTGCACGTCCCAGTGTAAAGTTCGGGTGTTACGGACTGGACTGCTTGTAAACCGGCCGCCTTACTCGGTGTGCTGCTTCAGGGCGTGCAATGGCATCCTGGCTTACTGTGGAGACTGCTTGTGATTGTGTAGGGCTGATTAAGCTCAGATGACAGGAGAAGCGTGGCCTGGGAGAGGCAGTAAATGGCCTGTTCTGTTATAGCAGCCGGAGAGGCTGAGCAGTCATGAGCCACGTCCTGTGTGCCACGTTGTGTAACCTGAAGCTAGGACTGGACTGCTGCCTGTGCCTGCTGTCCCTGGCTCAGGGGACTTGTTGTCTGCGCCTCCAGTGGAAAGGCTGCTTGGGGAGTGATGGGGTCCTTGGTCATTCCACAGAACAATACTGTTGGGTGTGTGACTGATAAAACCTCTAGACGAAAATAGCCTAACGTGGTCTCTTCACTCCTAAAAACATGTATGTTTAGACTGTTGGTCTCTACAAAACACTAGCATTAAGCCACTTAAAGCTAGGAGCTAAACAGTTCATCCTTCCTTCAGGCTAGTCTTTCATCCTCAGCTCCATGCCAGTTCTCTATCAGCCTCTGTTGAAGGCAGGAGCTCACTGGCATCCATTTTTACAAGAGCATGTCTCAGGCAGGGCTGTCTGTTGCTGTGGCTTTTAAGGTAGCGACCACTTCAGTTCGTTGGGCTTTTACAGCATGATGGGAAAATACTCTGTGCAACGGCAGCCCTCCCTCCCAGCAGCAAAAGCAGTTCAGGCTATTTAAATCCCATGAGCAACAGAACGTGTCAGGGTGTGTGCTGTCATTTCACCTCCGCCCTGCGTTGTTAGAGGCCTCTGCATTGCCACGTGCCGTGATACAGATTCTGCATCACAAGAGCACAGTCCCAATTCAAATTGCTTAAGCTCTAAGTTCAGGGGCGTGCAACCAGGATGTAGGGAAACTTTTCTTGACTAACTTGTCAACGTGAGAGATGACAAATGAAGTCACCAAGCGCAGCCTAATATGGATGGAGTCTCGGTTTTCCTCTGGACGTTGCTTAGCAGCCAGTAAGTGACAACGTAGGGATTGCAAGGCAGTGAGTAACCTTGCAAAGGTTCACTGGCTGTTTGCTTATGTCTCTCTTGCACCTTGCCATGCAGCACTTGGACTTGACATGGCATGAGCTGATGTGGTCCTTAGTATGAACTTCCCTGAACTCGCTGAGCTCCCAAAGACCCTTATGCCTAAAGACTGCAAAGTGTATAGGGCTGTCTGTGTGTTGCAGTTGCCTTCCAGAAGGGCACTTGCTAGTGCTATCTGTGCCTTTGACATTGTGAGCGTAATAAACACATTGACAAAGTTAAAATGAGTATTTTTGATTACAGAAACATGCCTCTCTGTCACCTGGGTTAGGCAGTGGGTAGAAGATCATCCTTCTGAGCCAGGCTTCATGATCCTATGCTAGATGCAGGACTTGGTACATGGAAGAAGGCCTCTTAGTATTTTATCACCATGGCCCAATGTGCAGTGGTGAGCATCCTCAAGCAGATTCAGGGTGGTGATTGTGGGGTAACCTGGCATGTTTTTTTCTCTGGTGTTTCATGGCAGTATATTTGCTCTCTTCTTTTCTTTTGGCTTTCACATGATAACAGCTTTTGGGCAACAGTTTTAATCTTCAGCAAGAAGCTGCAGGTTTTACACACAAAAGCATCTCTTCCTCTGAATCACTTTGTAAGGAAATGAATAGCAGTGCTGGTTCCCATGTCTGAGTGGCATGCCACTTACAATTTGGAATACCTAACACCTTCTCCAAAATTAACCACAACTGGGATCAAGGTGCACACCAATATATAAATAATATAGCACCAGTCTATGAGCAATCACGGGTGTGTCTTCCATATGTGATTCAGAAAAAATAATGAGCTGTGTGGATGAAAATAGGCATTTGGGTGGGGATTATGCAAGGCCTGAGTTACAATGCAGGATGGGTGGGGGTAACACCTCTTGCAGCTTACAAATGCTAATCACCAGCTCAGCAGCCAGAAATCTCTGCAGCGCCATGAACAAGTATTAATAAGTATATTTAACAAATATTAATAAGTATAATTAAGCTTCATGTGCTGAATTTTCAGTGCCAAGGAGCTATGAGAAATTTTGCTGAATGTTTTCAATTTTAAATGAATAGAAGTGCTTTTGTAAGCAAGCTAGCAAGAAAATAAAAGATTAGGCTACTTTAAGTTTACCCCAGGACCACTCCATACACACACACACACACACACACACACAAAGTCAATGAGTTTCCTAACTGCAGTGACCCTACTAGAGATGAAATTATGCATCTTATTACCCTTAAGTTTCCTTCTTGATGGTAATCTAGAGACTCTGTATTTAACATACAGCTTGTCATAGTGTTTAAAGTGTTTATAAGGGCTACAGTCTGTAATCATGAGTTTGAAGGGTGGGAATTCCACCATGACTGATCTGGTCATCATCTTAACCCTGAGTTCCTGACAAGACTCAGTTTGAATTCCATCAGCAACTACTCCCTGCTGTAATAACTGCCCTTGCCAAATTGGTGGCTGTGTCCTGGACTAGATGGATGCTTTCCTTTAGCATGTCAAACCTACCACTTTAGAAGTGTTTAAAAACTGCTTAAGAAGAAACCCAAGGTTGGAGCAGGAGGAAACACAAGAGCTCTTCTGAAGTTTCAGTACAGGGGCAATTGCACCTATTTCAGTCTGGGAGCAAATGGAAAACAGCTGCCTCCTGGCACCCATGGATGGGTGATCACAACAGTGCTACTGAGGCAAGAAAGAGACTGCTGGGAGTGAGCAGTAACCCCCTCTTTCAGTGAGGAGGCTGAGGGAAGCTTTGCCTTTCTCTAGGTGTACATCTCTCTTCCCTGCTGGAACTCAAATTCCTTGACTCTTCAGGCCTCAGTGTATCAAGTTATAACAACTTTGAAGTGTGATTATTCCAGTCAACTCTATCTGGCAAGGGGCTTCCTCCTCAGAGGCACTGTCAGGCCTTGCCCAGGTGAGCCCAAGCTCTAAATATTCAAATGTGATCAGGCTGTTGCAAAAGCATGTTGTGTCCTGACAAGTCTTATCATGTGCCAGGGAACGAGCAGAGAAATGTCTTCTGGCCAGAACTTGCAAAGCTTCCCCCACAGCTCCACAGCATTAATTACTTGCTTGGAAAATGGAATACACTCCTTGGATCATGCAGACTTTGTCCCCCAGAGCACAGGAATCTGGTGTCCAAGAAACACACAAGTGAGGCTTTGACCTGACTTTGTCAGTGACGCCATCACCATCACCCAGAGACAACTATGGAACTGTGGAGTGAGTCCTCAGTGAAACCTTATTGCTTTGAATTGTTAAAGGGAAAACAGGGAAGCTGCTGAAATGCTCAAGACTTGCCTATAAATTACTTTCCTCATAGTGAAGAGGCATGTGAGTTCTGTAACCTGCTTGAATGTCTTGCTCATAGCCAAGCAGTTCCAGTTGCTCTTTTCAATTCAGGTTCGATCTGCTTTACTTCAGTTACAGTTGCACTAAACTTAGATTCATAGTTTAACTTCTGGAATGAGCTGTAACTGTGCTGTTCCTCAGCTGACCCAGCGGGAAAGAGCTTCCCTACAGACTAATTATATTTATTTAAATGCTCAGGACTGAGTAGACAATACCAGAACTTTCAGGAAAGGAGAATGTAGCTTTTGCTT